GTGCATTTTCTATGTTTCATTGCCGATTCATTTTATTCTAACGTCAAATTCACTTCTTCCTGTGGTACTGAATATCGTAACTCGTTTCCGAACAGATCGATCATCGCTCGGACAGATAGATTCAGTCAGAATAATCGTTTGAACCCTTCCTTGGGGATGGTAACGCACATAACAATAGTAACAGTCTCGAATTGACGCTTTAGATAAATAGAGTACGAGGTGTGAAAATGAATAAGTCGTTAATAAATAATAAATAAGCCGTTAGAAATTTTACCAAGAGCCAACAACCATTACTTCGGTTTGATCCATATGCCGAGATTGATAAACTGGTCAAAATAATCTTATTTGTCTATTCATGTAGAGACAATCTCTATGGGGTTTCAGGCAGTCACATCACGTGGATCACTTTTACTCCTCTCTAAAGATCTCGCGTTTGTTGCGATTGGACCACTATCGCCACCACTTGACTGTTTCGCTTTCTTGTATCTCACGGGTAACCATTTATTGACCGCTTTCCCCTTGTTGAAAGCTGATTGTGTGATAATTTATTAGGAAAAATAAGTGAAAGTTCAATACTGCTGTGATTACTATTATTATTTTATAACTTCCAAAATACTCTTATTCCCTTCACGTTTGTTCCTAAATCCTTTTATATCTTCCGGTCTCGAATACTCCACTCTAAATTTGAATGAGGATAGATAAAGTGGTACAGGATAACTAAATACTCACTTGATTTCTCAGCTCCCAATCGCTCATCGCTACAAAATTGTGTGTCTGCTACCTTGATCGACTGACTCACGGCGTACAGTTTTGCCTTGACTGAAACTAGTAAATGAGAGCGTTTCAGCACATTTATTGGACAGTGAACCGTAGTGTCTCTCTCTTTCTCTCTCTGTGTATCCGTTCATTTGGCATCTGTTTCGTCAGTCACAACACCAACAGAAAAGTAGTCGTCGTTTCTGATGAAGTAATTGAAGCAAAGTGGTTTTTCTCGTGGTTTTTTTCTATCCGTTCATTACATCGATCGGATTAGATGATGATTGATGTTTCCAAAGTGATTCTGTCCGTCCGAAGTCATAATCAAAACATGTTTTAATGAAAATGACACTCTTAGTAGCCTTTCGTTTACGGAATTCCCATTTTTCATCGTTCCCAACCTGAGGTCATATATTTTATTCGATTTAATTATAAAGATCGTCGTGCAGTTCTTATTCATTTGTCCATCTGATCAGTTTTACTGATTGAATTTTCTTTTCCGTTCAGGGAATGTGAGGGACCATCATTCTAAGGTCCGATCAACTGATGTGAACTGTCGATTGCATCGTAAAAAGTTACAATCGCTGTGCAGTTTGGTTGGGATTTTCAATTTCAGTTTTCCTGTAATATGAGTTAAACGACGAAGTCCTTCGGACCATGTGCTGTCTACATTGATTCAACAGTTAACCTCGGGTTTTATTTAAACTAGTCGGATTTCAAGAGGTTGGAGCTTAGTTGAAAGACGAGGGAGTGTCTCAAAACGGATTTGAACTGCCAGCACTGTGTGCCTGCCCCATGTGCATGCACCCTAGGTTTTTGCGGTATCTTCGGTTATGTAATCTAGTAGCCGGTTTTAGTTAGCCCATACAATACTTCAAGTCCTTACAGTATTGGTGTGATAAAGGTATCGTAACCTCACCGTTCCTGGGGATTCGACGCAAATATAAATTAAGCGAATCGGCCTTTCTGGTTCAGAACCTTTATGTACCTTTTGGACCTACCTTCTATGCGATTTGGGAACACATCCAGTGCTGCAGTTTCTCAGCCACCTCCGACCAGCTTTTGATTATTAGATTCTCGAATTGTAACCCGAACTTTGGCTCAGATTACCTCAAGTACTCCCGATGGTGTTTCGGTGGTGACGTCACTAAATTATCACCCCGGGGGGACGAGTGTTCGAATCCCATCACCACCGCCTGACTTTCCCCATTCTGTGTATTGTATGGCAGCCCTTTGATTAGTCGCTTCCAAGTTTCTGAAAATTATATCTTGGTATACTCAATAAAAGGAAGCAAAAATGTGAAACAGCTCTGGATGACGTGTAGGCTACTTCGTCACTTAAATATTGTCCAACCATAACTCGTCTCTGATCAGATGTGAGTGATGAACTGCGGTATTATACCAGTAGAATACAGTCACTGCTTGATCATTCAACACAATTGTTGGCAGTAGGCAACGTTCCAGTGCATGAACGTATGCATCGATATCTTGGGCGACATACGAAATGATGAGTTCGCTCAGACCATGAGCCGAAAATATAGCCAGGACCGGCAGTAAGGTTTCATCATCAATTGGTCAACTCAAATACTGTTCGCCTTTTAATAAATCATGCCATGTGTATATAAGTTGTAATTTTGAAAACACAGCGATGTCGGTACACGTGAAAATAAGCCGACGCTTCGGATATACCCAACGCCCGATCCGGATCGTTGGCGTTCACACAGACACGGACACAGATTTACATACAAACGCGCGCATACACAGTGCATGAGCGTTTAATTAGCAAACTGTTACTGACTCATTCGGTTATAAAATCGCCTTGATAAAGGTTAGCACCGGTAACCGAAACGTCGGCTTATTTTCACCCGTACCGACATCGCTGTGTTTTCAAATTTACATCTTATATAAAACACATCACTTGGTGTATCGGTTTTTCTATACACTCCGAACGTCGTTCGGATCTGACACTCTTAATGCCATGTGTGGTCCCACGTGTCCGGTCCATTCAAGATGAATTTCTCTCAATCAGGGCAATAGATGCATTATCGTTTTTGGCAAGGTCACGCGATTTTCAGATGACTTCAAATCACTCCTAAAGATCACACACTGGGATGTTCACTTAAGCATAAGCAAAGATATGGCTGTGTTTGTTAATTGCTAAATGCATAACCACCAATAGAACGAGGACTTATGTTATCAAAATTCAAATTTCCCCGAACTAATTGATATCAATACAGGTGACTACTGGTTACAAGTTGCTGTTATCCAAACTTCAAAGTTATCGGTATATTTGGATGACTTAACAGCCTGATGATTGAAAGAGTACGTTCGACTCATCCAAAGGCAGAAGCCGTTCGCGGTGGAAGCTACTCTCACACAATTTATTTCAAGTAAAGTAAATTTCACCAGTCAGGCTTTTTCAATTCTTTTTAACTGTTGTTTAGACTGGATGTTTGGATTTGCTCCTTCGAGTTTTCACGGGCACCAGGCACTGTTAATGATCTTGTGTGTGGGTTTCAATCCTCGGCAGATCATTCATTCCCCACCAATTAAATGCACTTAAATATCTAAATTGATTGGTCCATTCGCACAAAGTGGTGGCCGTCGACTGTGTAGCTCAGGGGTAAGGGTTTGAAGTCCCAATCTGGAGGTTCGTGGTTCCATTCCTGTGAGGGACACAAAACAGACGCTCTGCTGACACGTCCCAAACAGGAAGAGTCAGCTGTCCAGTGCCCTTTGTCAGTCATCGCAAACACTTCCATCGCATTTAAATTGTTACTCCGAAATTGAGAATGACCACGTGTTTCCCACCCAGAAACTAAAGAATCACCTTCTGCTGATCTGATAAGATATCACATTTGGAATCGGTAAAGCCACGTTAACTATACTCTCCCATTCAGTCGTCTCTCAAGACTTGACAGCTGCACACTGGTTTTGTTGTATTCACTAACCGGTCATCAGCATTCATATTTGAACCAACGTTAAAATAGAATTTGCACAAATGACGGCATGTCACGTGAAGATTTCAGGCTGCTCTTATAAATGCAGACTGTACAGTCGCATGCATTTCTCTCAACTGTATAAATGACTTTTCTCCTGGTAGTTGTTATGCAACAAGCTAACCGAGGGAGTCAATGTCCGTAGTACACATTTTTAGGTTTATGGACCCAGAAACCGGTTTACTGAATTCTGACGAGAAATCACTTGGTAAATTTTCCTATCACTCTGTTTAGACTAGGCTTAGATAAGTTTTAAGGATCTTCTAGGTTTCTAGGTATCTCTGATTCTCAATTGTGAACCCCCGGGGTTTTCCCGGTTGACATTGAGGCCCTAAAAGTTGAAAACAGCCGTAGTGCCTTCTTCGCTTTTCAGTTTACGCATTGTTTACTCTCTATGCACGACGAATTTCAAATCCAATGAACTTCTCCACTTCTCACATGTAATTGCTCTTCTATAACATCCAATCTCGGACAACACAATTTTATTTTCTTCTCAATTCGGCATCGGTTGCTAACTTGATACTTACTTTTGCATTGATTGTCGACCCCCTTCACCACTGTCTTTTCGTCCTCTCGATTTTTCTCCCCTACCCAACCCCCGTCTCGGGCCCCACAGCATCATTGCCGCTTCTAACTCCGCAATTATTGAGCAATCTGACCGAAACCTCACTGAAACTGACCGCAGTGCACCAAGTATTGCCACATGAGGATGGTTCCTGTTGTCAGAATCTGAGCGATGACGACTTCATTGCAATGATCATCTCTTCCATCGGAGAGTTTGTCAGTACGTCCTTGTCCAGACACACAAACACAATCGTGTGAGAGCGTCTGTGTTTCTTCCGTATCTGAATCATATCATACTAGAACTTTTGTTTGGAAACCACCAGTGAACTCTGCACAGCCAGGTCCATTCTTGAGCTTGCATTTAGGGTTTGTTTTGATTTCTTTCGTTCACTCGAGTTAGTCATATCTGCAATTTCCTGAAAGAGGAAATTACGAAAAAACAAAGAATTCTGCCATCGTTTTAGTCAATTAAGAATCAAATAACTCAAAGATACGAGAACGCATTTAAGCTTATTGCTACAAATTCACGTGGACGGTTTTTGGTCTGCCAACAAAATATCCCAATGGATAACTCGTATTATGGACGGAAAAATTCACCTAAAAGGACCGTGTTTAATCGCTCTACAGTATGTGGTCCCATACGAAATCGATTTGCGATAACTCTTGATAAAGCGCGTTTTGAAATAACTGCTTTGATTGTAGAAAATTTGTAGAAAATTACACTAAACCTTCAGCTACTCGTGAGTAGGCTGAAACTAATCCGCTCAAGCGCGTTCAATTAATGGCTCTACCCCACGTTTATTTTGTCAATTCAGATATACCTATAATCATCCTGTTCATTGATCTCCTCGGCCGAAAAATCACAATGGGTCTGTGGAATGGTGTCACCGGTCTCATGTTCTTCATACTGTACATCTGTATGAGTAGACAAACCATGACCGGAGTGCTCTTCGGTGTGCGAGCCATGTCAGCCGGACTTTTGAGCTTGGCCTATGTGTACACCAGTGAGGTGAGTGCTTCTGGGAATATGTAGGTTTCTTAATGTGACAGTTTTACTCGCTAACATCCAAGTGTCCTTCTGCTCTGATCATGCGCCGCCACTGATCAGTGGTACATGGACCACTACACTGCACCCTGGTATGGTGTGATGGCTTTCGTACCTTCGAGGTTGGGTGGTTTCCGCTCCCCACCTCGCCCTAATTGTCGAGGTTGTAGAGAAAGTAGATTTTTCTCTAGGCAGCAAAATTTCACCTGTCGCACCCATCACGAATGAATTGGCGGTATGTACATGGAAGGCTCGGATGGCGTTTGCTATTTTGAAATATCTGTGACACCGTCGTAACATCCACCTGTTTGTGATGGGTTGAGCCAAAGATGAAGCTGTCTGATCGGTGCAGCCATATATTGGTGCTACTTGACCGTAACGGAGCAGGATGGAAATGGACTGTGCTTGACTTGTCGCACGAGTCTAGTGGGCTAATCATACAAGCAACATTGAAGTCAGAGGAGGAGTTTTAGGTAATCGCACACATACACAAGGTGTGCAACACAAAACCTTCATCGAACAGTCCGCTCAGAGAGAAAACTCGAAGAACTCAAGGGAAACGCTTCAAACCCATAAGCTGGCATATCAATTACGTGTTCCCCGTGAAGACACAATGTGTCAACAACTGCTCAGAAAGCGTTTGAAGAACTGTATTGTATACATTATTGGTGATTCCAAACAAGTTGGATGAAACAGCTCTGCAGTTCCTCCTTAGTTTTTCAATAGTGATTGATAAGTTGAATATGCACGCGACTGTCTAAGCAACCGTTGATCATAAGTTGCCAGCTCATGCTATAGGGTATTCAATTTGATATGCAATAACTTTCCATGGCCTTTTTTCGTATTGACCTAGCAGTTATATGGTTTCTCTATTTGGTTGGTGAATAACTTTGATTGATTCCCACTACTTCTACTTCCATTTCACTACAATACAATTGTGCTATTTTGAACCTTGTGTCTCAGGTATTTCCCACGACCGTGCGTGCGTTAGCCGTGGGTATTTTTAGCTCAATCTCGCGCCTCGGTGCCATGAGCACTCCGTATGTGGCTCAGGTTATGCTTCCGGAGTTCTCGGAGATTGGCGCACTGAGTTTATACGCCGTGATCGGTATCTTGTGTGCGATACTCTCATTTCTTCTGCCCATCGAGACAGCCGGTAGAGAATTACCTGTAAGTTTCATTCTAAATAGAACGAGCTGAGCAAAATTGTTCGCTGAAGCCCAGTGATGAATCAGTTATCAATTTGAACATGCAAAATACTACAAGGCTGTCGAGAATTATACAGGCATTTACCATCGCTCGAGTAATCAAATAGTTGTTATTCAGTTACCAGTTTCTACTGGTTTGTCTCATGTAGTATTTTTGGCAGTTTAGGCACTTTAATTTGTATACGACGTTTAAGGAATCCTCTTTTGGCAGTTGATCCTTTGGTATTAATTGGATGGTCCTCGTTGTCGTCTTTGTCTTATGTGCAACCAGAACTCCTGATGGCTGTAATAATCTGGCTGCCATTTCCGAGACTTCCTGTGTATATGACAGTGTTGTTCGTTTATTCGTCGGTCGTTCTTCTGGCTGTGCGTTTGATGCTTCTCGATTGTTGTCTTCTCCTTGAGTTTCGTATGTAAGCAATGTAGCACGAAATTCCGTAGGTATCCGCTAGTTCAAAACACCTCAGAAAGGTGGGATTCCTCCTCTTTTGAAGCTGGGGAGTGCTGCAGTGCGTGTTTGCTCGTTTCAGAAGTGTTTGTATTATTATTTGTCTTATATCTGTTTTGGTATCCGTGGGTATATTGCTTGTCTTCATGGCGGACTCCAGTACTGCTATGAAGTCTAAGCGATCGGCATCAACGTGAGTTAGGTTCAATCCTCGAAGTAGTACTGACTGTTCATCGTGTGATAGCACCTGGCTGGATAAATGTTTTATCCAATGCTGTGATTCCTGTTCCCTATTCTGCCGAAACTGCGACAAATACTACGTGAGACAAACCAATAGAAAGCTCAAAACACGACTACACGAACACACACTGGCGATCAAACGACACGAGAAGAAGCCTTAAATCTGAATCCACATGGATCCTGAGAATCACGTTTTCAAACTGGACAACGCAAGAATAATCGGAAGAGGAACCACCAAGTCAATACAGGAATTGATCGAAGCATGGCACTCTAGAACGGACATCATAAATAAACATATAGAACTGGAACCCATGTATCACTATCCAAGAAAACACTGGTGACCTGAGGCTGCCCCAGCTAGAACCGGTCCATAACCAGTTTGGAACCGGTTCAAAACCGGTTTGCAGTTGGTCTAGGAAATCCAGCCGACCTATGAGAAAAAAGGATGGTCAACATACCGAGGAAATAGCCAATCAAATCACGGTAAATGGTTTTTCTTGATCAATAGGATTAAAGGGATGCAAATAGCCAATCGAAACCCTTAAACAGAACTATAAAAGTCCGATCCCACTGAGGACTGACGCTTCCCCTAATTAGCACTGATGATGTTGCCTAGCTTGGCTACGGAACGTCTGCTAACAACACTTCAATCTCGGAGGACTCATCAACACTATTGTCCTCATATCGAGCTATAATCATCGCGCATCATTTCCAGCTCAGAATTCAATATTTTCCCGTAGGAATAAAATATAATGTTCTAGACACCAATGGTCCAACACAAATGTGGTGATCGGGTGAAAGGCGTCTACGTGTGGTTTGATTCAGTACACCTTTATGCCACTTGCCCCCTTTCACAGCGTATTGCCAAATGTGAGAATGTTCTTTCCTCGTACATTCGTCCGACTGGATTATGAGCTGTGCCTTTGTCGTTATTTTTTTAATTCGTTTGGTCCTTGATCCCTGCTCGGTACGTGATTTTTCTTTTTTCCATAGGCATTTGTGGAGCATACAGTACTAGGTTGGTTTTAACTGGGCGGTTCTTTGTATGTATCTATCTAACCGCACATATGTTCGTCATTCACATATTTACCTCGACGGTGTTAACCTTAAAGCGGGATATCTAAAGTGATACTGGTTGGTGTTACTGGTATAGCTGCTCTGCTTGCTTCGAATAATTGCTGACCGTTCGTGTATCAGCCTCACTGTATTTTGCATTTGCATAATTCATTGTCTGGTGCTACCCTAAAACCATTGATTCGGACTGCTTTTACTGTCCCGTTTGTCGTTGTTTGTTTGTTAAAATACGGCAATCAATGTATCAGTACTAACACAATCATTATTATTATACTATTTGATGATGCCCAACTGCTTCTTTGTTCTCAAATTCGATCTTTCAGAACGCAGTCGAAGAGTCTGAAACGTAACACCTACCGCCACATGACAACCGTCCAGATGCAACAGATGTATCGGTATTCGAACATTTTTCTCGAGGGTTAGATTGTGCATTTTGCTTTCCTAATCTCTCTGGCCATCCTCAACGACCATGACCTCTTTCCATATTTTCCTCAGACCTGATATCCGGTACCTCTGTGATAGATTTATGTCTTTCGAGATATCACTCTGTTTCTACGTCATCAGCTGGGCACCAGAGGATCGTTTAACTGATCGTCAGCTCATTATGAGAGTAAAGCGGTGAAACCTTGTTGCATATTGTCTAAATGAAAGGTAAATGTATCAACTCTGTTGTTCTCGAAGAATTCAGTGTGATCAAGTTCCATACTTCATTCCACTCTGCCAAACACCATTCACCTCTGGGAAATCAGGATGCATAAGGTCGTTGATACACAGATTTGTCAGTCTTCTTTTGATCATCTTTCATTTTGGTCAGAATATGGAGCTCACTTTGTTTCTGTTTTACTGCAATCAAGTGCTAAACAGTTTCATCAAAGAGCTCCTAACGTGTGCTGTTCATTTTGATTGCTTTTACGTTTTTGTTGACCACATTTTCTACTTATACTCTGTTTGCCTTTCGATGGTGCACAGTCGTTGTCTTACCGATCGTTAACAAAACCAAAACAATTCTTTATGCATGTGGTGCACACGATAGAAGAAGACAATTTAAAGGACAACCTGTTTTCCTTTTGCTTTTCATGCGATTGTTTATCAACGTATCGTAATGCTCTTTGTTCGAAGTCTACACACAAGAGAACGACTGGCTCCCGAAATGCAAGGATAGATCGTGCGCTTGAGTGAGATGCTTTTCCACAGAAAAGCAGCACCCGCTCAAATTCTTCGACGTACATTCTGGTAAACTAGACCAAATCGCCAAATGATCAGCATATATTAAAGTTTTGATTAAATAATGGTCAGCAAGCGTAATGCGAAAGATACCTTCTAGAAAAAAAACCATACGGTTGATCAAGTTATCCGTTTCCAGTAGTGCACTGAGCTGTCGACCAAGTGATCTGGCAATCGGTACAAGAGTAACATAATAAATATCTTGCCTTTATTTTAGAATAATTCAGATTCTAGTTGCTGGACTTGAGGAGTCCTTTATCTGGGAAGTTTTGCCCTTGAGAATGTGGTTTACCTCCGAAAATGAACCCAAGAAATAGTGTTATTCAGAACGGTACTCGTGTACCTTGGATCTACATCCCGTGTGAACCATATCGCCTTTCCTTTGCGTTTCCAACTATGCTCCTCTTATGCATAGAAACATTATTTTGAACGAGCCTCGTCCGAATTTCACAGTACTTTTGGTGACAATATTTCAACGGTTTATCGTCTTTCTCAATAGATAAATGACTGGTGGTAAACCAATGGACTGAAGTCTTTCAAAATCCATGGAATGTTGCACGATAGAATCGATGATATCAGATTCCGGTCCGATTGTTTTCGGTTGAATGATGAAGAAAAACGACTGTCTGCTGAATGACCAATTAGTTTCAATTATGCTCACTACCTACATCATGCTTATAAGCATGTTAGAGGTACGAACTGTGACACCCCCGAATATTAATGTATCGATATTCGGGAACATCACCGTTTGTGCTTCAGAGAACAAATGCGGAGTTTTAATTAATCGGTGAAACCGCATATACGAGTAGAGAAAATATCTCCTGGTTCCAAGAAGGTAGCACAATGAATGCAACACGTATTGCAATTTGAATGTTTCAGGTAGGTTGTGCTAGTGTAGTGAAAAAGATACTGCATATACGAATAATAATGAAATAAACGGTACAAGGAACGGACTCAAAGAAGGATTGTCCGCTGGTCGATTGATCCCGTTCTTGTGATGTGTGGTTCCGGTCGATGAGGTGTAGAGGAGCTGAAATGAATGACTGCGACAGCTAACGGACCGCTTGACGATAGCTGATAATGATTGCTTAATTCCTCAGCAACACTCGGAGAACACGTGCATATATACGAACAGAATTATGTATTGTGTCATAGGTGTTGTGCATATTAAAACAAGCTGTACACTCATGTCAGATAAAGTGGA